GCTAAAGTTCCTCTGATAAATTATCCCATCGGTGGTAAGGCATAAAGATTAAAAAAGACATACTGGCATAATGAGGTGCTGAGATTGTCGATAGATTCAGCTACAACTGGCGAAATAACAATCTATCGGAGTTTATGTATTAAAATTACTTGCACCCAACGTCGGAAGTTTGTGCTCCTGTTCACATATTGCGATGTTTCGGTTTTATGGGGTGAATCGTCAGGAACTGGGTAATACACTAAGTAGTTGAATACCGGATTTGGTAGAGGATCAACTCGTGTCTCGGTTAATGTGCCTTCGACAGGACCATGAAATTCGCCTCAGCCTCCATTGTGTGTTGACTGCGTCTCACTTCGCCTCCAGAGCAATCTCAGCCAATGCAGGAGTCTGCCCCTCCTGCAATGTACAGTGATTCCGATCTCTACAGCGGAAATTATAGACCTCTGAAGGTAAAGCAGGGCCTAAAGCTGAGTCAGTGGTCATGTTAATGCGGGCTAGATAAACTGTTCTAAAAGATCGTTCGTGGGTTGAAGTTTTCTTAGTTGATGAAGAGAAGAAGAGGGAGGTGGATGGAATACTGATTTAAGAGTTACACAGGAACAGCAACACAAAACATCGCGGGTATCTCTTCACCATTTCCGATGTGAAAACATATCCTGCTCGTGACTAACTGTATTACGGACGACCACTTTGGTATTAATCGTGTTGGTCTTTGGACCAAGCCAAAGCCAAATCTCTCCCTTTCTCCTTGACTACATGTACTCAGCACCATAAATGCCTTCTATCTGGTGAGGAGTTTCAGTACGCTACGCTTTCGAGCACACACTTTAAGCTCCAATTGGTGAATGCAGATTGGAAATCTGGAGACAGATTAGATCATTCTAAACTCTTTAGTCAGTCTAGATTCGGTCTTTGTAGCATTCAAAGCGCACGAGTTATTTATAAATGACAGAATCTGTAGTGCTCTTAACGAATTAGTGCTATGAAGGATCAAATAGATAGTTTATCCGTAGAGTAGTTGAGGCTGCCAGCAAAAAAAACCCAGTGAAGTGGGTAGGCAACACAGTAAAGGTGCAAACTGCAAAAAGTGGGTCTATCTAGTTGCTAAACATTGAACAAACCAGCGCCACTAAATTCATTCATGGTTTTACAAACAATTAAGTTATACGTAAATGTAAGACGACTGCAGCGCCTTGAGACTTCTAAATAGGTAGACGAAGGCATTAATGGTATAGATAGGGAATGAGATATTACTCGGATGAAATACACATATCCCGTCAAAATGAAAGGTATTAGGCTCTGTAACGCCTTTGTGGTCGGCTACTTGTACAACTAGCCGGGGGAACCGACCTTTTGGATAAGCCAACTCACGTCCTCACTTGCTAAAATGAGTGCCTGCTGCCAAAAAGTGAGCAGTGATGGCATTTTACAGATCAATTTAGCCGCAGTGACAGTGTGGGAAATCAAACGTACGACCGATATCAGTGGTCAAACAGCGTACTGCAATAAATGCTGGGGGGTAATTGTTCAACACAACCCAGCCATTTTGAAGGAACTGCTCCGTGCCTCTTCAAACTTTAATAATTTTTCAATTTTATACACTGTTGTTTAAGAAAATAAAATTACATTCATAAAGCCCTTTATACTCATAATATGGACAAAACGCTATATATGGAGTCACTTAATAAGCAGATGCAGTGATGTGTATAAGCTTGCACGGCTAGAAAATGAGCTGTAGCGAGGAAAAAGGAACTTTTGATTAGTGCTTAGTTGAGTCCTGAATTCAGTGAAGCAAACATTAAATGTTCTCCATTCGTAGCACTCCATCCAATGATGCGACCTCACTTGTGTAGCAAATTAAAATCGAGTAACTTGCAGGTGGAGTGGGGGACATTTGGTGAGACTAACTCGTCTTTCGCAGCCGTAGCTGTAGAAAATGCCTGCCTACCCTCGTGCTCTTGAACCACGGACTTTAAGAGAGAGATAGTTGCAGTAGATTTATTTAGCATTGAATGCAAGAAGAATGGGAACAAAAGTATAGAGGGGCCGAACAACAGATATCACATGGGGAGGAATCCCTCGCGATTCTTACACACCGGATTCGCGTTCCAATTCGCCTCCCGCCTCTCCCCCAAGAAGATCAACTTAAACACTAGCATGTATATCAGTAGCTCCACAGAACTTCTAAATAGGTAAAAAAGGCATTACGTTGAACAGGATACATGCATTCTAAGAGGAGGGTAGGGTATTGGTTTGGTCAAAAGTCCAGAACATGCGCGCAAGGAACAGGCAAGTACAGGCATTACGGTAGCTGTAACTCACCTCTGCAGTATATTTTTTTAACAAGGAACTAATTAAAGCTATCAAACTGTCAATATTCTCTGAAGACTAAGATTAAGGTCGACTAGTGCATATTGATAATCCAGTAAATAGTAATGTAAATTAACTTTATAGTTCAGATTTATTAACGGTTATAATACTAACTGTACAAATTTTTTTGTACTTTTAAAGTATTAAATCCATTATGCTTTGAACAAACCAAAATTGTTTGGATCAGTTGACGAGTACGCCACTCGTTTTAGACGTATTTGGCTTTTGCATTGGTCATAAGTTTGTAAATGAACGTGTTTAAATTTCGAGGTGAACTCATTGGTCATGCCGGTGATGTTAGAGGCCTTTGTTGCCTCCAAGATGGTACACTCGTTTCGTCTTCGCGAGATATGTCAGTTCGGTCCTGGAAACTTGATAGGTATTTTGATTTCAGTTATACACGCATATATAATACATTAATACTAGTTCAATATCATTTAATATGTGTTATGAATGCATCGACAGGTTTTTTGCATCGTTTCAGCAAAATATTTTTTTATTTCTAGGGGAACAGCAAATGCCACTAAAGGCAAAGTATATGCAAAACACGATAATTATGTAACGACGGTAGTATATGCAAAACCAACAAAAATGTTCCCAAGTGGCCTTATACTGACAGGTTCGAACGATAACCTTATTCGGGCGTTTATTGAGGAGGAGTCTGATCCCGTTTTCATCCTTCATGGCCATACTGATACAGGTTTTTCGGATCAAAGTGGTGATTTCCTTTCTTAGTTTGCGCACTTGATTCTAACGCTGATGGTATTGTTGCGAGCGGTTCATGGGATTCTACGGCGAGGTTATGGAATTACGATTCTTGCATTGGTAAACTCCAGCGTAAGCCTTGTTGATCCATTAGTGGTTGTTCTAGACTTTTTTAATAAATTTTATCAATAGTCCTGTTCTAGGTCCAGGAACTACTATCTGGGCAGTCATATTTTTACCTCAGTCCCGTCCAGACGAATATTTGATCGCTACAGGCTCATCGGATGCGGTGATATCCATTTGGCGTATCCCTTGCGCTTCGCTTGCACAAAATTCCCTCGCTTATGAGTCCTTGACTCCCGCAAAACTTCTTAGAGGTCATATGGACTGCGTCCGTTCTCTAGCTCTCCTCGACTGCGACCTTATTTCAGCTAGCAATGATGGAAGTCTTCGTTGTTGGAGTCTCGACTCTGGAACTTGCATCGCGGAGTTTTATGGCCATACTAGCTTTGTCTACTCCGTAGCCGTCGATCCAGCTCATCAGTTCATAGTCTCATCTGGGGAAGACAGGACAGTACGTGTCTGGCCTGTCCCAAAAGCGGGTATTAGCTCGGCGCAGCAATTGGAGTGTCAACAGACCATTTCCCTACCCTGTCAGACTGCATGGTGTGTAGTAGTCACAGTCGACGGTGATATTGCTGTCGGATGCAGGTTGGTTCATACGATGTCAACTCTTAGGGCTGTTCCAATAGGTCCTCTCATTGCACTGTTTTACTTTTGCAGCGACAATAGAATTCGCTTGTTTTCGCGCACCCCTGAACGTCAGGCATCGGATTCGACGCTAGAATCATACGCCAATGAACTGGCATCCTTTCAGGTGGTTGAGGGTACTCTTGGCGAACTTGACAAACATGATTTGCCCGGTGTTGAAGCGCTCACTATTCCCGGTGAGTGGTGGGTTCTGCCATCTACATGTTTGATTGTTTTACACCGATTTCTTTTGCTTTGCGCGTAACGTCTGACAAATAATTAGTTGTAGGTAATGTTGTAGAAATATCAGAATTAAGAGCTTCCGTTTTGTACTAGTGATCAATAAGTGTTTAAATGTTTACAAGGGTTAACTCCATTTGTGTTTTTAATCGACGAAAGTCGAGTTAGAGTTGTTGTAAGTTTACTAAAATTATGCCAGTAGGCGCTGTTTTTTAACTTTGAAGGCCGAAGCGAAGGTCAGATAATAGTGATTCGAGAGGCACCGGGTGTGGTGTGCTATCAGTGGTCGACGGGTGAATCAAGGTGGGTTAAAGTCGGCGACGTCGTGGGCTCCGCTGAGCATTCTATCTCTGGTTCAAATCGCATTCTTTTCGAGGGCAAGGTCAGTGTCTTCGTCTACTTGCAAATGCTATATTCTTACCTACCCTTTCCAGATTTAGGGTCACTCCTTTTCTTCTCCAATGCAGGAGTACGATTATGTATTCACAGTTGACTTCGCCGATAATATGCCAGCTGTTAAACTACCCTTCAACAAGGTGGACGATCCCTGGGTGGTAGCACAAGCCTTCTTGCACAAACACAATCTACCACAGGACTACCTGGACACGGTGGCCAAGTATATAATTCAGCAGGCTGGTCTGCACGGCTCTGGTAGCAGACATGGCGATGAAAATGAGTACTTCGATCCTTTTACTGGTTCTGGTCGCTACGTTCCAACTGGAAAGGTGGACGAAAAGCCTAAATTTTATTTTCCCGCAAAACAATTTATCACTTTAGAGGCCATAAATGTCAAATTGGTTCTCTGTGAGTTGGTTTTTGACCTTCTTTTAGAGATACTAATAGTTAGATTTAGTATAGCTTGTTTTTTAATTTGCCTCAATTTGAAACAAAATGTTTGCCCTTTAAATGCTTCAGTATTGTAAATAAAGGTAAAACGAGATTCTAGGTCTTCTGGCTTTGTAACTCGTACTCTTGATTTCGATATTATCCGTTTTGATATATAGCATTCTTGTGTCTAGAACTATGCTTTATTTTCCCCGTTAGGGGCTTTCGATTTCAATCTTCAAATAATTGCGCTGTGGAGTTACTTATTCCTAGACTGATCATTGAATACCTTAGACCATTTTACTGTAATTACACTATTTTCTTCTACTGGAGTCGTATTTCCTAGCGAGACCTCCCTTTTTTCTTAACTAGCAAAACTGAAAGAGTTCAGTTTGACTGCTTCAAAGGGTCTTTCGGAAAAGGCAATGCAGCTGGTAGAGAATATGAGCCCTGAGATGTCGGAAGAGGATGCTCTTCATTTGACGCAGGCTATTCTGGAGCTAATTAAACTGTGGCCAAGTGGTATGTGCACCGTTAGCAATAGTATTCATTAAGATTGCGACTCATCGTCTCATTACTCCTGCCTGTGCCATTATCACTTAGGCTTTGAGTTAGTGGTAGGTTGACCTTAATATGCCCTATAGGCATATCAACAGTTGCTCTGCATCCCCGCTTGAATAGAATGTTCTCCTCTGAAAGAGAATTTCTGCTCAATCTAGTAACGTTAACTTTCTGAGGTTCTGCAAAAACTCTCCTTCTTTCTAAGGAATTCAAAAAAACATGCATAATTTCTGAAGCTAACGCGAGTAAATTTACTTAACAAATCACATAGCTGAAGAGCACGCTCCACTGTTCGTCCAACGAAGTGATAGTCATCCGCTGGAGCTTTTTGCATTCAAAATGGGGCTTTCCGTGGTCAATCGCATTTCATGGCATCTGGAAACCATGGGAACTGCAAAATTATAAGAATTAATGTTTTAAATTTAAATCTTATATCTCCTAAAGGCTTCAAAATTATTGTACTTTTAAGACCTAAGTACATCTTACTAGGAGATCTCCGCGAAGCCGATAGTAGTAAATATGCTATCACCGAATTTTTACTAGAATTGAACGACTGTTTTGAGGCCATGAGGTCAGAATCGCAGTCCTCGAAACACAACATCAAATGTTGCAATGCGTTCACGTATTTTTCTATCTGCTTTTCTTTATTACAACGTAATCACGGCACAACTTTTTTGTGTAATCGCGCTTTTCATTATTTCTCATCGTTCCGGGAATGAACGCCTTCAATTATCTGTATTCATTATGAAGTCGTTCCAAGACGAGTCCACTGATTTCCGCTCTCTAAAATGGATGCAACTTTCATAAGTGAATAAAACGAAACCTCCAAGCTTCTTTGAATAGATGTGCAAGGAAAGCTTTGCTTTGATTTAGAGTTTTCAATTGTTAATTACTGAATGAATTGGCGCCTTTGCTGATGGTAAAAAGAATCGCTTAAAATTTACCCATAAGAATTTTTAGATGATCTTATGCATTTAAAGTTTTTGGAATGTCTGCTAGGTTAGAAATTTGATATTCGTTTCTCTTTTTGTTATTGTAAACCGACGTCCCCTTTTAGCCAGTCCTCTGCCCTGTCGGTTTGTCTTAATTGCTTCCAAGCGCTTTGGTTAAAGGAATGACT